ACGCAAGGCCCCACTGGGAAGCAGGTGTTGGCCATACCAGTGGTGCACAGGCTGGGAATCAAACACTGGCCTCCAACACAGAGGGCAAGAATTCTACCACTGAGCCACCACTATATCCTTTTAGGACAGAGGATATTTCAGCATTTCTTAAGCTGAAAGAACTGAAAAACAATTTCAAGCCACAAGTCGAAATACTTAAGAATGCTTTGGGCAGAATATCAAATGATCCAAGAAGCCTTAAAAGAAGATGGAAGGAGTATACAGAGTCACTGTACCAGAAGGAATTGGCTGACAAAGAAGAATGTCATGAAATAATGTATGAGCAAGAGCCTGTGGTGACGAAGGAAGAAGTTCAAGCTGCTCTGAAAGAATTGGCAAAAAACAAGGCCTCAGGAATTGACGGCATATCAATTGACATATTTCAACAGAGAGACACTACCCTGGATGTGCTCACCAAGTTGTGCCAAGAAATCTGGAGGAAAACCACCTGGCAAAGTGACTGGAAGAGATCTATATCTGTTCCCATTCCAAAGAAAGGTAACCCAACAGAGTGCAGAAATTATTGAACAATATAATTCATATCACATGCAAGTAAGATTCTGCTGAAGATTATTTAAAAACGACTGGAGCAACACTTCAACAGAGAACTGCCTGAAGTGCACGCTGGATTTGGAAGAGGCCCTGGTACTAGGGATATTATAGCTAAGATTAGATGGATCTTTACTGAAAAGAGAGAGAGAGTACCAAAGAAAGGCCTATCTGTGTTTCATTGATGATGCAAAGGCATTTGACTGTGTGGATCAAAAAAAACTGAGGCTGACTCTAAAAAGAGTGGGAATCCCAGAACATTTGATTGTGCTTATGCAAAACATGTACTTGGACCAGGAGGCAGTTGTTAGAACAAAGCAAGGAGATACTACATGCTTCAAAATTGAGAAGGGTTATGCAGATGCCACAACCCTGTTTGCTGAAACTGAGGAGGACCTGAAGTGCTTGCTGCAGAAAGTCAAGGGCAGCCTTCAATATGGATTGAAGCTCAACATCAAGAAAACAAAGATTCTCACCACTTGGCCAATTGGCAGCATCGTGATAGATGGTGAAGAGATTGAGATTGTTAACAGCTTTAGCTTTAGTTTGCTCAGCTCCATGGTCAACACTCTTGGTACCAGCAGCCAAGAAATCAAGAGATCAACTGCATTGGGAAAGTCAGCTGTCAGCGACTTCTCCAGAGTGCTGAAGAGCAACAGTGTCAGTCTGGAGACTAAGGTGCGCCTGATGTAGGCCATAGTCTTCGCAATTGCTTGCTATAAGTGAGAGAGCTGGACAATGACTAAGGATGATATAAGGAGAATTGATGCCTTTGAGCTGTGGTGCTGGAGAAGAGTATTGACTATACCATGGACTGCTAGGAGAACAGTTTCTTCCTAGAGAGGATGAAGCCAGGCTACTCCTGGGAGGCAAAGATTCTAAAGCTTCATCTAAAATACTTTGGGCATGTTGCAAGGAGGGACTGGTCCTTAGAGAAAGACGTCATGCTTGGAAGGGTAGAGGGATGGGGAAAGAGAGGAAAACCATTGATAAGATGGACTGATACAGTGACTGGGGTAATGAGGGTAGGTGTGTCAGAGACAGTACTGTTGGCACAGGATCGAGCAGCTTTCAGGGCTGTTGTACATAAGTTCTCTATGAGTCACAAGTGACTCGACGGCCTAACAATAACAACAAGTATTTCTTGAGTGAATAAATTATTAGCAAGGGTGGTCACAGGAGTCCTTAATGGCAGAGTGGATTAAGTTTTGTGCTGCAAATCTAAGGGTTGGCGGTTGAATCTGCCAGCTGCCCCTGGAGAGGAAGAGGAGTGGTCTGTCTCCATGAGGATCATGACCTCAGAGGAGCCCCAGGCACACACGGGCACTTCATAAATATTACTGAAGGGCAGTGACCCACAGTGACACACAGGACTCCTTGGCATGTCTGCCTGGGGAGGAAACAGGCACTGGACCACAAACGCACTTTAAATGTACTTCTCTTTTCAAACTTTTCAAGTCAAATTGTCTTCCACGCACAAAGTGCCTGCACCCAGAAGTCAGACACATAACAAAGGATTCCACTTCATGCCAGAGCTGCATTTGTTCAGGGTCAGGGGGCCACTTTGGAGAGATAACGTCCACACAGAAATTAAACACGGCTCGGATGCATCAGGGAGCGACAATGACCTGTGAACAACGAGCATTTGTTAAGACGACTCATCAGTCCCACAGGTAGAAAGAGGGCTTGTTCAGGAAATCCAGGGGCTCAGAAAAGAGTGCCCTTCCGTGTCCCTTGACCAGGAGGACTAGTGGCACAGAGGCCAAAGTGCTTGGCGACTAGTTAGGCGAAGGAAAAGGCAAGACATACAACATGGGGTTGGTGAGGCATTGTCATAAATTAATGCTATTAGTCACTGGTAATCAATCAATGGTTAAAGCAAAGGATCCACAAATGATTATAGAAAAAAACCACTATAATTTGCCAATCTTCACTGAGATCTTAAACTAGAAAATAAAAATTAATAAACAAATGCCTAAAATGCTGGCCTGCTGATGGATATTTCATTCACCAAACTCTGCCTCAGTTCTTGAGTCCTGCGGAGCAGACACCACAGCGAATGGTCTGAATGGAACAGAAACTCATCCACTGCACGTTTCAATACTCACTGTGCAAAGTCTGTTCCAAGCATAACGATTCTCCAGCAGGTTTCTGAGACCACAAACCCTTAGGGAAAGTGACCCCCACATCGTCCACCCTCAGAGCGAGGGTAGACTCAGACTGCCTTAGGGTTCGGAGTGTAACTGGCATCGGTCCCCTCCAGAATTCCTGACTCAGAACCACCTCGACAAGCCTTTTCCTGTGTCTCCTGCTGCTGGGAGGTGAATGTCAGCCTCCGCCTTGTACCACACACAAACATTCACTCAAAACCCATCACAGATCAAATGTAAACATGAAAGCACAAAAACTCAAAGAGATCTTAAATTCTATAAAGATTCCACAGGTAAACTCATCTTTCTGATGTTGTGGTAGGTAAGGACATTTTACTAAACAACAAAAAGTATAAATTTGCCATATCAGGTAAGATACTAACAGATTTCCTTAAAAAGAAAAACACTTGTTCATCAAAGAATTTGGTTAAATTTAAATAAAACTTCAAGAAAAGGCAAATGGACGGAGACGGAAGGGCAGTGGTTACCGGGGTGAGGGTGCGAATGGATGGGTATTAACTGCACCCGAGTGTTGTTCGGTACCCGAGTCAGCTCCCGGTCACAGTAACTACAAGTCGATAGGCTTAACACACTATGAGATGGACCCAATGGTACTGGGTTGGGTTTGGGTTTATTATAAGATTTTTAAAGGACATAGTTAAGAAAATAAGGCGGCTGCACATCCATGTTTATGGCTGCATTGTTCACAATAGCAAGGAGTTGGAAACAACCCAAGTTCCCATCAACAAACGAATGGATAGAGAAGCTGTGGTATATTCACACAATGGAATACTACGATGCATTGAAAAACAAGCAACCCATGCAATTTTATTCAAAATGGGTGATCCTGGAGGATATTATGCTGAGTGAAATATCTCATTCACAAAAGGACAATTACTGCATGGTGCCACTGTTATAGAATGCGACTGCCATCAAGGTTGGGGTGAGACTGAGAAAAACTGGATAAATAATGTATACTGCATTGAAACAGATGAGGGAGAGAACAGTTTAAAAGCGATATATGATAGGGTATTATGGTTATCACAAGAGTCCAGAATTAAGGTTGCATCGTGGAGTGTACTCGGGGTGTGGGGGGTTGCGGGGAGGGGGATTGTATAGCAATGAAATAATTTTTCTTTTAATTTTCAAAGAGAGGAGCGGACTGGGGAGAAGGGGTGGGCAGGGAGAAGAGTGCAAAAATGAATGAACGGCAATCCAAAATCTCTGTAAATGTTCATTAAAATTAATAAAATAAAATTTTTTAAAAAGAAAATAAAGAGGCAAAAACAAGCCAAGATAAAGCTTGCAGTGCATACACTCAAAACGATCTCTACTCAAAATCTGTGAAGAACCCCTGTTGTTGTTGTTGTTGTTGCTGTTAAGTGCCTTCAAGTCGCAGGCGACTCATAGCGACCCTATGAAGGAGAGTCCTGGATGCATGGGTCCCTTTCATCCTCTCGCCAAGTTCATAGGGTTTCCGGAGGCAAGCTGTTATGGAAGTGGATGCCACTCCTCCTTCCAAATAAAGAACCCCTACAAATCAATAATAAAAAGACAACACAATTGACCAAATCCTCTTTGGGGTCCTTATCATGCACGGTATGTTTCTTTCTTATAACAGAAATATAAAATTTCATCTCTATGTTCACAGAGATAACAAAGACAGAGGCTGCCTGGGTGGTGCGAAGTTAACACACCAGCTGCTAACCAAAAGACTGGCAGTTCAAGTCCACCTGAAGGCTGCTCAGAGGAAGAACCACAAATCCACAAATCCACGGTTCGGCGCAGACGCACACAGGGTCACCTTGACTCGGCAGCGACTGGGCTTGTCACGAGTGTCAAAGCCAGCATGCTAACTTCAGACCTGCTCTTCCCACAGCCCTTGGACACACTTTCTGAGTTAGCACGTTTTCTTTATTAAGCATCCACAGAGCATTTACTATGTGAAAACACTCTTAGAAATGTTCTTTACGAATCACATCATTAACAATCTAGGTTTAGAAGATACTCCACTTTGCAGATAAGAATACTGAGATCAAGTAAGTCTCCCACATTCCCACAGCTGCACCCCGACTCAAGGCCAGGCCAGCAGCCTCTACCCCAGCCTCTTTCCCCTGCATCAGACAATGTGTCTAAATCACCACGCTTCCCACGAGTCCCCAAGTCCCCAACGGAAGAGTGAAGAATGTGTGACAGTCCCAGCTGAGGGGCACAGCCACCGAGGCCCACCAGGCGGTTCGCTCTGACCGCAGTCTCACTTACCTGTCCAGGGCGGTGCTGGTCGGCATGCTCCGGCCGAAGCCACGGACGCCCAGCTGACGGAAATAGGGAATGCAGGCGAGGTTGGCGGCGATGATGGCCAGGGAGTCAGAAGGACTCACAAAGAAGCCGTTCTGGCCGAGGATCATGTACCGGTCCTGGCGGAGGATGCAAAGGTCATCATCAGTCAGGGGTCTCTTCACGGGCCACCCCCCAGCTCTCTGTCTGAAAACCATGGCAGGATCAAAGAGGGGTGGGAAACCTCGCCTGAACCTCTGCATCTTCCCGGGGACTGGAGTTCTCCCCGCAGGCCTAGAAAGGTGTCGAGAGACCTGGACCCTTCCGGCCAGCTGTACCGCGGACTGTCAGAAGGAGCAGATGAGCCGGAGACGTGCACTCACAGTGCCCCTTGGAGGGAAGGGTGAGTCACTTAGGGGCAGGTTATCAGGATGCCCAGTCACTAGAAAAGGACACCATGGTGGCCTAGCAGAGGACTCAAACACTCAACACCAGGTGGTGGCGAGGGAGGTCGTGTTCTCTCCCTGGTCTAAACTAGGTGGTCATGAGCTGGAGCTGACCCAGTCGCCAACCACCACCTTGGTCCCCAGTGTCCCTGCTGTTAAGTCCTGTCATCATTGTTGTTGGGAGCTATTGACCCCAAATCACAGTGACCGCTGCGGAACAGGAACCTTGCCCGGGGCTGAAGCATCCTCGGGATCTCCACATGCTTAAGCGCACTGTTGAAGTCGCCCTGTTGATCCATCTTGAGGGTCTTCATCTCTCCCACTGACCGTTGACTTTTCCTAGGAAGATTCCTTTTTCCAAGGACTGGCTCTCCCTGACAACATGCCGGAAGTGCAGGAGATGAACTGTCACCACTCTCCTTTCTAAAGAGACCTTGGCTGCTCTTCTTACAACACAGAAGTTTGCTGTTTTGACAGTACCTGGTGTAACCAAAAGTCTTCACCAACACCACCGCCCAAAGGCATCAGGTCTTCTTTGGTCTTCCATATTCAATGTCCAACTTTATATGCATATAAAGCTACTGAAAACACCATGGCTTGAATTAATACCATATTTCTTTTAAAATGCAGAACCAGGGCTATTGTTAAATACAAATTGCTTCACATGGAGCTTTCCACAAAATAAAATCCCCACAGCCCATAGCCACAGAGTCACTTCTAGCTCACGGCAACCCTGTTGGGTTTCTGAGGCCGTAAGTCTTCACAGGAGGGAGTGGCCCAGAGTTCTCCAAAGGGGCTGGGTAACAAACCAACACGTAACCGATTGCACCACCAGGGCTCCTTTCCACTGACCACCATAAAAAAAGATGTGCCACATGAATTTATATTTTTTTTTAAAAAAAGCAAGGTCTTTCTAATATTTATTCCAAATGTTAATTTAGATCAAATGAAAGCACTTGATATATAATAATATTATTATATAACAATATTCAGGCAGAACGGGCTCAAGCTTGTGGAGAAGTTACAGGTTACAGGTTAAAATCTGATGTTCACAGGGGAGTCAGAGTTGACTCAACATCATCTAACAACAGTAACATTCAGACACAGAACTAAGGCAGAGTCATTCAGGGTATGTCAGACCCTCCGTAACAGCAGACGTGCTCACTGATTTTCTGCTTTGGGATGCTCAGCCCACGTCAATTTCTTTTGACCTCCTTGGATTGTGCCTCACTTTCTTACACTTCACAGAGAGCACATTTTTTTACACGTGGAAAGTCCGTGGCAACCGTGATCGGTACCATCTTCCCGACATCCTGCACTCCCTTCATGTCTCTGTACCCATCTGGATTTTCTCATAACAATCAGACTTGTTCATCATACTATTGGTGGCTTGGTGGTAAGGAGTTGAACTGCCAACCCAAAGGCATAGGGTTCAAATTCACCAGCTGCTCCAAGGAAGAAAGCTGATACATCTCCTCTGGTGTAATCTACAGCCTCCCAACACCTGCTGGAGGGCCCACCATGAGTGAGCTACAACTCAACGGCACAAAACAACAACATGGCACAAAATTTTAAAAAACTTAAAAGATACTGAGAAAAGAAGAGGGTCAGTGAAAGAGTGCGACCCTCAAGGAGACAAGCTGAGGCAGTACCAGCAGCACAGGACTGGGCTTGGCAGAGAGTAAGGAGGGGACAGTACAGGGCAGGGTTCTGATCTGCTCTCCACACTGTCACTACTGGTCTCTAGGATGGTGACACTTCATCTCACATCCTTTGGGCGTGTTGCTAGGTGAAGCCGTTCCTTGGAGAGGGACTTGACAATTGAAAAGGTAGAGGGTCAGTAAAAGAGGCACAGACCCTCAATGAGACGGGTCTACACAGCGCCTGCAGCAAGGGCTCCCGTGTGTCGAAAATGAGGAGGATGGCACAGGACAGGGCAGACTTTACTCTGTTGTCCATGCATCACTATGAGCTGTCCTTGACTCCACGCCCCCAACAACAACAGCTTGACAGCACCTAACAGCAACACTGCACACTTAATAAACTACGGGCTGGTACGGACATGTCTATGCACTGAGGAACCAGAAAATGCACACAGCCTGCATTAGTGAGGACTTCACTTTGCTGGCATGGTCGGAACTGAGCCCGCAGGACCTCTGGGGTCTGCCTGTGTGTGGTGACAGGGCCAGCACTCACAAAGCCATCCTACTCACCCCGTCAGCGTCAAAGGCAGCTCCGAATCCATATTCCCCTCCCTTCATGGCTTCCAGAAGCGTGGTGGCGTATGTCAGGTTTGGGTCAGGGTGCTGCCCCCCAAAGTCTTCCAGAGGCACACAGTTGATGGCAGAATTGGCGGGGGCCCCGAGCTCATCACACAGGACTTTTCTCACGTAGGGTCCCATAACTGAAATAAAACAGGAAGCAAAGTGAAGGCTGTGCCAACCACCAACAGCTGTTCTGTGCTGGTTAGAGCTGAAAAGGGTGTTTAATAACAGAGAAGGAAAACATAAATCCTACAGGCTTCTGCAAGAAGGAGCCCACATGGGGGGCATGGGTGAAAATAGTGCAGTAGAGGGCAGGAGCAATGCAAGCAGTGCTTGTACTGGTTAGATCGAGACCCAGGTGCCATTCAAACCCAGAATGCCAGTGTAGTGCAAATGGTTAGTTTGCTAACTGGAAGGCTGGAAGTTCAAGTCCACCCAGAGTTCCATGGAAGAAAAGTCTCACGACCCATTTCTGACAAATCAGTCACTGAAAGCCGATCATCTCAGGACAGCGGCGCTGACACACGTCAGGTCAGAGCTGGAGGAGACTCAGAGGCAGCTGTCTAGATCATTGTTGTTGCCGGTCAGTGCAAACCTATCCGCAAGCCAGATCGAGTGTGTAAAACTATCCGCTAGTGACTAGAGTGTGCAAACCCATCTGCTAGTCAGATCGAGTGCTCCTCAGAAGGGACATTTGCAGGTGAGAGTTCAGGACGAAGGCAGTGGGACTTGAAAGAATAATGTAAATTGTACAGGGGTAGGAGTGAGCCACCCAGATGGAAAGGGCATTTTGATGACGCCTGGGTCGGGATACAGGGCTCATTTCAGGGCCAGTGTGCAGCCCTCTTTGGCCAAAACGGACCTGAGTTTCTGCTTTATGTTTATTTTGCACCAAATGCAAAGAAAACTTTTCCAAGGAGGCCCATCTCCGGCTTTGCCAGCCCAGAATCCATTTCCCCACCTCTGTTGGTAGACCTCAAAGGAACCCTGTGTCACAGCGGTTAAAGCACTTGGCCACTAGACAAAAGGTCAGCTATTCAAACCTAACAGCTGTATGAGAAAGAGGAGGCAGTCAGTCCAGCCTCGGCAGCCCTCGGGGCAGCTGTGCCCTGTCGTAGAGAGACGCTGAGCGCTGGTGCCACCGGCAACACTCTGGGCTGCTGCCCTGCAGGAGGGTCTCTGTGGGTAGAGTCATCTGGACGGCAATGCGTTTGTTTTTATCTCTGCTTTTCATTGTTTGAGAACTCCCTTCTCCACTCTAGCTCACATGAGGTGTGGTGGCCATTAGACGTCGTCCATCAGGCCTGACTCCCAACTCCATATGAACAGAATAGAGTCTGTCTCGGCCCTGCACCATCCTGGCCTGACTCACAGCTCCGTATGAACAGAACAGAGCCTTTCTCAACCCTGCACCATCCTCAGAGGCACCGTCCTTCTTGAGTCCACCGTGCAGCCATGACATCAGCCCACCTTGTCGAGAGTCTTCATATTTCACTGACACTTTGCTTTCCCAAGATTGGTGTTCTTCTCCAGAGATCATCTTCTCCTGATAACATGTCTGAAGGATGCGAGACGGCGTCACCTTCCCTGCTAAGGACGATTCTCACTGCATTTCCTCCAAAGCAGAACCATTTGTCCGCTGGCAGTGCCTGTGGCCTTGATGTGGCTGGGTCCAGTTTCCCCCAGGGCGTGGGCGTGGGCCTAGGCCATCCTGCCAGTGTCTTCATCTCCTGACCAGAGTGGTCAGTTCACAGATGCACACACAGCATAAGCAAGACAATAAGGGTCACACCTAGACATGCGCTAAACCTATTATTTAGGGAGACCGCCCCCCCCCCCCCGTTGGGCCAGATAATGTGAGGGCTGGGGCTCGGCCAGTGCTGGGGAATGAGACTCACCAAGGAGAAAGAACCAGACAAGCAGACAGAACACCTTAGTGGGAAGTTCAGGGAACAAGCCTTACCCACGTGTGCATAACTCCAGATCCTGTTGGTACCCCAACTCTTAGCTGGGCAGCCTGCCAAGGATCCCAGACTTTCAAGGAATATGTGTAACACGATTCCTCCCAAAGTAATCTGAAGAAACCCGAAATTTCCCCGGCAGAGGAAAACTTGTAAAAATGAAACAGTAATATCCTGAGACGTGGCGCAGCTGGCAGGTGCTGGCTGGTCAGTCCTCCTCACATGGGCTGTGCGGACAGCGGAAGGAAGGCCTGTCTGACCCACGCCGGCCTCACCGTCTCTGCTGTGCTCCCGCACGCTGTGCAGTCACACGTCAGTCCATCATGAAGGTCGCCCTCTGTCCTGATGATCTGCTTTTCCAAGCACGCTGGTCTTTTCAAGTCCTGGCCCCCTGAAAACTTACCCAAAGGATGGGACACTAAGTCTCACCATACTTGTTTTTAAGGAGCACCTGGCTTCAATTCTTCCAGCACAGATTCGCTTGTTCTTCTGGCCACCACAGTATATTCAAGACTGACAACCAACACTGCAATTCACAGGCACCAAGTCTTCAATCGTCCTTAATCACTGTCCAACTTTCACACTGAATACACCTGGCTCGGGTCAGGGACACCTGGGTCCTGGGCTGTCCAGCTTTGCTCTTCAGCTTAGTTTTCGCTCTTCAGTTTTAAAGAGGCCCCGAGCTGCAGCTTTGTCCAGTACACTAGGTCATTAGGCATCTTGACCCCTGCTTCCATAGTGCTGGTTGTGGATACAAGTAAAATAAAATCATTGACAACTTCCGGATTTTTCTCTCTTATTGTGATGTTATTTATTAGCCCAGCTGTGACAATCTTTGTTTTCTTTACACTGAGTTGTCATTATGCGCTGTTGAGTCAGAACTGACTCATAGCTAATCCTCCAGTAGATGTTCAGAGGCTGTAAATCTCGTGGAATTTTCCTCCCACGGAGCAGCTGGTGGATTCGAATCGTATGCCTTTGGGTTGGAACTGCAATTCCTTACCACTGGGCCACCAGAGCTTACACTGAGGTATAATCTATATTAAAGGTTATGCAAATAAATGCTCCAAGGCCTCTTAGATTCCTGCATGCAAGGTTATATCATCTACATTGCAATGCTTTGCTGTCTCTTTCTGGGCCCTCATTACATCTTCTATTCCACTTTCTTACTCCATCATCTCTCCCTTACTCCATCATCTCTCCCTTTTGCTCTCCCTTCTCTGCATTCTAGAGGAGGTTTCAGAGGCATCCATGCTGGTCTTTTCTTTCTCTCCTGTCTTTTTTCTTTCTCTCCTGTCTTTCTTCAAGTGTGAGGTCCTTGATGCTGTCCCCAACTCATCTGTTCTTTGGTCACCAGGCTTCAGTCCATCAAATCTACTCTTGAAATGGTCTCAAAAATCAGGCAGGGTATTCGTGAGGTCCTCTTTTTTTCTTGTGGATCTTTTAAGGTTTTTGTCACCTTCTATTTGAAGCCATATATGATCAATCTATGGTCTGTTCCACAGCAGATCCCTGGCCTGGTTTTAATTAATGATAGTGAGTTTCTTCACCCTTTCTCTCCACAGATGTAGTTAATTTCATTTCTGTATTCCATCTAGCAAACTCCATGTGGAGAACCATTAATTATGGTATGTCAAGGACTGCGTCATTGACTGGAGCCAGGTATGCTTGCTGTTGTTTTTTGTAGGTGTAGTTGTGTCAACTGTGGGTCATAGTGATCCTCTAAACAACAGATGGAAACCGTGGCCGGTCCTGTGCTGTCCTCACACCCGCTGCTGCTATCACTGTGTCCAGCTACCTTGTAACATTGTTAAATATAAAGACAATAATAATACTAGGTGTTGACAATGAAGAAGAACTCTCACGAATTGCTGCTAGTGTCAGTGGCCCAACTACTTAGGGCAACCGTTAGAAAGTTCCTGCTAACATCCAAAGATTCAGTAATCCCAAGACAAATGCAATGTGTCCCAAGAAGACTTGGCCACCAGTGTTGATAGCTGTTCTATTTGTAAAAGCCACAATCTGGAAAAAGTTCTAATTCCCATCAGCATATAAATGGAGAAACAATGGTGAATCCATACAATGGAATCCTCATAAAGAAAGCCAAACTGACCGCTGAGGAGGAATTCTGACGTGTGGTGATTCTTCATCAGACTTCCAAGCTCCACGTAGTTACAGGGAGATGGGAAGCCAAACGTTATACCAAATATTATATGAAAACCCTTGTTCAGGAATTGAAGGAATTACAGATTTATAAGTTAGGATTTCTCTTGTGGCAGATCATAGAAAAGGAGCTGTTTGTTCCCTGCAGACAAGAGACAGCAAGGAGCCCCCCACAGAGGGAGTGTTACTTCCTGTGAAATACTTCCTGAGGCTAGTGCTTTAGGTTGACAATAGAGAAAAATACAGCTTCATTTACAAGGAATTCCTTTCAAGATTTGCTTCCCCTGATTATCAATAAATTCACAGAGAAACATGACCTGGGGTCTTTAGTCCAGAAATGTTGGCCCCATTTTATGCTCTCTGCTCTATCTCATTCCTGGCTGGCTGTCTCATTATTAATAATTATAAAAATACTTTACCCTCAGTCTGCAACACCGGGCAGTGTCTATGTTGCCCCAATGGGATCACTGTTGGGCTTCAGCTGCTGACCAGTTTGCTTAGAAGATGAACTTATAACCCCTTATAGCCCCAGGGCTCTTCCTAACAGCACACATGAAACAATAAACAATTTACTAATACAGTGGGTAAACCGTAAACTCACAATGCTGAGTAAAAGAAAGAGGAAAAGGTTTTATACTGTGTCATTCCATTTATAAACTTTCTGGAAAAGTCAAAACAATGTGGAAAAGAATTAAGGACAGATTTTTTTTTTTCCATAATAGACTTTGAACCGTCTCACTTTTTAAAGTATGTATGTAGTGGGATCTAATTTCTTTCTAATGACGTAATTACAGTTTTATTTTATCCACTCTGCAATGTGTCAGGTGTGGTATCAAAACACTTTGCTTGATCTTTGTTTTCATTTACAAGATCATTTAGGAAAAGCAAGGCGGCTTCTCCTAAAGAGTTCTGGGTTTCTGTTGATGGTGATTTAAAAAGGAAACGTTGTAGTGGTAAAGTCAGCATAAGATGAATGGCGTTCATGCCAATTAACTTTACCTGTAGACATGTTTGCAATGGTAATATGATTTCTAATCCTTCACTTAAATAATAATCCACTTTTAAAAATAGAAAGAAAAATGGTGAAGCATTTATTGTTGCGCCGTCGAGTCGGAGTCGACCCTGCGGGAGTTTTTCAGAAGCAGTAAGTCACACAGGAGATTGCCCATCTTTCTCCCACAGAGCAGCTGGTGGATTGGAACATGTGCCTTTGGGTTGGGAGGGCAGCTCCTTACCACTCGGCCACCGGGGCTACTTTACACATGATTGGTTGCAGTAAGCTGGGCCCTCACCCACGACAACCACAGAGCTCACCAAGCAGAACTGCTCTGCAGGGTTTCCTTGGTGGTAATCTTCGTGGGAGTGGAGTGCCAGGCCTTTCTTCTGAGGAACCTCTGCGTGGGCTTGAACCCCCAGTCGAGGTTAGGTTAGAGGTGATCATAAAGCAGGTGAGTCACCCAGACTCCTTCGGTAAACATTATTTCACGTATATAAATAAGATATATTTTTTTAAATTGAAAAGGGAGACTAGAGAATCAGGACCCTTTCTAGAACCTTCTGAATATCTGAACAGACTCTTGTACGTGCTGTGTGAATGCTCATGAACGCAACCTGTCTCAGAAAGTCCGAAACCAAAGCATGTGCAGATTCCCCACAGCCCTTCCCGCCCCCAGAGAGGTCGCCGAGGAGCCCACCTCCGTGCATCGCATCCACACGGATCTTCAGCTGGCTGGGCCCCGTCAGCAAGTTCTTGATGGCACCAAAGTCAAAGATGGTCCGAAGCAGGTTCAGATAGATGTCCACCGGGTCCACTATCTCCACTGGGGAGCAGAGAGAACAGAAAGGAGGGTCAGTCACAAGGTTAAAAGGGCAGCTCTTGCCCAGGGCATGAGCCCAGAAGGCAGAGACAGAGAGGGAAAGGGAAGGAGGGAGGGGAAGGGGGGGGAAAGAAAGAGAGAGAGAGAGAAAGAGAGAGGAGAAGAAGGAGAAGAGAAGAAGAAGGAGGAGGAGGAGGAGGAGGAGGAGGGGAGGGGAGGGGAGGGGAGGGAAGGGAAGGGAAGAGAAGAGAGGAGAGCCCCAAAGGCAGAGAGAGAAAAGCAGCTTGAGTGGAGACAAGAACTCCAGGAAGGCCCTGTTCTCGGGGAAGGGGCATTATCTGTCTATGAAGGATGCTGGCTTAGTGCTAATGGTGTTTAACCTTAGAGGGGCACCGAGGGTATAGCTAATGTTAGTTCTATTGTTAGTTGGTGGTGTCTAGGGAAAGGCAGTTGAATAAAGCCAAGGGGGGAGTGTGTGCCTGGTACTGATACAGGTATTAGGGAGCTGAGAACTTCACTCATTGTGGTCAAGTGAATGATTCATCGCTGACCCTCCAGTGGGTTTTCTGCATGGGTGAAGATTGCCTGTATTTCTCCAGTGGAGCAGCTGGATTTGAACTGTGCACCTTTCAATTGTTAATACACCTACCTATTTGCTGGATTGAAAACAAAATAAAAAGAACGATCTGCCCCGTGCACGTCAGAAGTGCCCACGTGCTCTCCAGCGTGGCAGTCCTTTTGGACATTTTCCTCGGGTCCTCTGACTCTTGAACCATTTGCTTGCATGGAGCTGGCATGTACTGAGCTCGTCTAAACCTCCTCATCCCAGTGCTTGGCACAGAGCCTATAACCCATAATTTGCACTGGATTAAAGTGGCCATCACGGTTCTGATTTAGAAAATGAACTCCTACCTTTATAGGGAACTGTAATAATCCCACTATCCTGTTGAGGGTGTCCGTCGATGTGAAAATGGTTACTACATTTGGTTGCTAACTGAGAGACTGGAAGTTCAAGACCACCCAGAAGTGCCTCTGAGAAAAGGCCTGGTGATCTGCTCCTAGAAAATTAGTCATTAAAAGCCCCACAGAACACAGCTCTGCTCTGACATGTGTGAGGTTACCAGGCATCATAACTGAGTGGACAACATCTCGTGCAGATGGTACCCTGTTGAGGTTCCATTTAACCAAGATATTCCAGCCGTTTCACTTTAATTGCTTTTAAAAGCAACAGCTAAGACTAAGGTGCCCCTAATCCACTCCATGGTCTTCACAATTACTTGCTAAGCATCAGAGAGCTGGATATTAACTTAGGATGAAAGAAGAAGAATCGATGCTTTTGAGCTGTGGTGCTGGAGAAGAGTGTTGAACAATACCATTAATCACAAGGAGAACAAACAGCTCTGTCCCAGGGAGGGTGAAACTGAGTCGCTCCCTGGAGGCTAGGATTTTGAAGCTCCATCTCATATACTTTGGGCACATGGCCAGGAGGGACCAGTCCTTGGAGAAGGACATTATACTTGGAAGGGTGGAGGGACAGCACAGGAGAGGAGACCCAGGATGCGATGGATTGACTCAGTGACTGGAGAAATGGGCTTATGTCTGTTGGAGATGATGAGATTGGCTCAGGATAGGGCAGGGTTTAGAGCTAATGGACAGAAGGTCTCTGAGTCACAGGTGACTTGAAGGCACATGACAGCAACAGTGAGGCACACGGTCAGGCTTGGGGCTAAGTGCTCGGAGTAAGCAGGGAACTGATGTTCTTCCCGCAGCTGCTGAATGGGAGCCGAATTTGCTGTGTAATCTTTCACAGCACAAATTATTCATTTATTTTGATGGTAAGAAGAAGATAATGATAAAGAGTTTGGAAATTGGTTTTGGCTGTTTTATTGTTTGGTTGTTGGGTTTTGTTTCTATTTAAGAAAATATTTCTCAGTGGTAGACAACTATCAATTGTCTGATGTCTCTACTTGATTGTGGATTTTCTTTCCATGTAAAGTCTTCATAAGTGCATTCTAACTGTGCTCTATATATTTCTGCATGATGCTCCTGTAAACTCAAAAGTACTCTAAAAAATACCAACACAAGGGGAGCTCTGGTGGCCTAGTGGTAAGGAGCTGCAACTATAATCCCAGAGGCGCACAGTTCGAATCCACCAGATGCTCTGCCGGGGAAGGAGGGACAATCTCCTCCTGGACCAGTCAGATCTGATTTGATGGTACACTCACACAAAAATAATTAAAAAAAAAATACCAACATAGCTTTTTATTAAGGCTGCTCTTTACACTAAAAAAAAAGGTCTCTAATCGAAAGATAATCTTATGACTGAGCCCACAGGTATTTTTGTCTATTTTGATTACATGGAATAATACTTTTAACTTTCTCCACTTAAGGACAAAAGCTACAGATGCAGTCAAGCAGCCTCACCAAGCCCGTGCTGCCATGTAGATTGCTACTCATAATGACCCTCTATCTGGTTTCCAGGGCTGAAAATCCTAAGGGAAGAGAAGAATGTTTCTATGCCTCCCTCTGAGTGGGGGGTGGATTTGAACTGCTGACCTATCAGTTAGCAGCCTGGTGTGTTACACAGTACTCCATCAGTCTCCTTAAAGAAAAAGAGTGGATGTTGTTGTCGTGGCGGTGGTGGTGTGCATTGAGTCAGAACCGACTCGGAATTGAACCTCTAGTGGGTTTTCAGAGGCAGATTATCACATGGGAGGAGACTGCCCACCCTTATCCTGTGAAGCAGTTGGATTCAAACCGTATTTCTAACCTTTGGGATCGCAGCGCAGCTTCTGACCACTAGGCCACCGAGCACCCTCGAGGGAGAGGCTCAAAAGCATTATTGTACTTAATAACGCTTAGGCTTCATATGGGGGTTGATTAAAATAGAAACTGGTTTTGAAGTGTCCATTTCTGACTATCCTGGCGTCTAATTTCCTTCTGCACCATTTTCACCTTAGCTCTACTAAGCCACCATGAGTGTGACAATTCACCATTCACCACACACTCTGTTTTTCTAGAACCTTCTTCACAACACATCGGCCATTACCTCTGAACGGTTTGAATTTGTTCTCCAGGTCAAACTCCTGGCGCCCCAGTCTGGACAGGTCAATCCGGAGGTCCGGGCAGATGGCGTATTCCTCAATCGTCTTGCTGATCTGATAGATTTTGTCTGAAACCACATCGGGCGCAGGACCTAGAAGGGGACGATAAGGCAGAACCAAGACCAATTAAAAATCAAGAGTCCGGAGCGAGTTGTGTTAGGTCTCTGACCTGAACAATGTTCCACCCATCTCCCCATTTCCTCCTCTGCTTAGTCCCCCACCTCAGACACAGTGTGAGCAGCGTGCCCTTTCCATGGAGGCTGGTAACCCAAATGTTTGGTGTTTTGTTTGGGTATTTTTGTGATCCATGTTTAAGCAACGATGCCTCTTCCCTAAAAATGGTTTCACACCTGCCTGGGAGACCCGCTTATGTAATCAGCTTAATTCAGGAGGGGAGCCGTAAACAGGATGTGCATTTGACAGACTGAGCGATCCCAGATACACGCTGGGCTTCCTAAATGCACCTGGGGATGGGAAGAAAGCGATTTCTTCTCCCTGGCCTGTTGCTTAGTTGATGAGAAAGCTTAGTGGGCTAAATGAATTCTTTCCCTCGTCTCAAATCTCAAGTCACTTCCACATGTTTTATATGAAGTTTCTCAAAGAAGATTTGATAGTCTTTCCAGATCAAGTTGACCATGAAGTAGTCTGACTTCAGATAGAGGAATCTGGTGGCACAGTGAGTGGTTAAGCAGTCAGAAGGCTGGCAGTTCAAAGCCACCATCAGCTGCCATGAGAGAAAGGCCTGGTGTTCTGATGCCATAAAGAGCCAAGAGCCCTCTCTGGAACACGGGGCTGCAAAGAGTCAGGACTGTTTCATAGCCCCAAGGACAACTCTACACAAATCGTACATGACATTGGTAAATTCCTTTCTTGTTGTTGTTGTTGTTGTTGTTGTTGTTAGGTGCTGTCCAGTTGACTACCACTCTTATGGACCAGAGGCCTGAACCCTGTACTGTCCGGTGCCGCCTTCTTCATCCCTAACATACCAGCGCCCATTGCTGAAGTCACATCTCAGCCCATCTCCCTGGGGTCTTCACCTCCCTGACCCTCCATCTTTCCAAGCATGGTGTCCCTTTCCGAGGAACAGCCTTGCCGAGTGACCTGTCTGAAGTGTGAAAGCAGCGGCTTCACTGTCTTTTCTCCAAGGAGCCCTCTGACTGCATTTTCCCCCCAAGCTATGCTCTTGGTTTTTGTCAGTCCACGGGCTGTTCAGTACTCTTCTCCAGACTACAGTGTAAAGGCATCAGCTCTGCTTCTGCCGTCTTTATTCATTGTCTGATGGGAGCAGCAGGTGATTGAGAAGACTGGTGGGCGTCGGGCACACCTTAGTCTTCATCCAGCAGCTGGAATCCACCAGCAGCTCTACAGAGGCAAGATGGACAATCTCCTCCCATCCGATTTACAGCCTCGGGACCCAGTGGAGGGCCAGCTGCAAGGTGGCCCAAATGTTTGGCAATGTGATGAAAGAGAGAGGGAGGGAGATTTTCTTTTAAACGTATAAGTCTTGGTGCAAGCCATCTTTACAAGGCTAGGAATCGGATAAACAGATCTAAAATACAGAAGGGGAACTCTAGTGGCCTAGTAGTAAGAAGCTGCGCTGCAATCCCAAAAGCACATGATTCGAATCCACCAGCTGCTCTGTGGGAGATGGGCAACCTCCTCCCAGGGGTTTAACCACCTCTGAAAACCAGTAGGAGGGTCAGCTCTGAGTTGGTTCCAATTAGATGGTAAATAACAACAACAAAATACAGTCAAATACAGATATTTGTACCTATGTTTGGTGGTACAATGGTTAAAGTGTTCTGCTGAAACATGAGTGGTTTGAGTCCGTGAAGTGGCTCTGAGGCCGTCCTGCCCTCTAGCATCGCTGTGAGCCAGAATGAACTTAAGGGCACATAACGACTTACTCCTCAGATGCACCCATTGCATTCTTTTCCATCTTTCCCACTAGGGCTGCACTGTCTAGTATGAGGCCAGCCTCTCTTGGCCCCTGAACACTTGACAAGCTGCCGGACTGAAGTGCTCTGGAAGTACGAGCCCAGATTCAGTGAATCCTCCCACCGTCAAGGCCTTTCTAACTCATGGCCCCTCTACCAGCTCTCCAAGGCTGTAAATCCTTAACAGGAATAGCGTCACTCATTCGTCTCCCAAGGAGAGGCTGGGGGATTTGAACTGCCAACCTTTTGGTTAGCAGCCCAAAACTTAATCTGCTGCACCATTAGTGCTCTTGGTAAGTGTGAAATGCACAGTATGACATTCTCAGCAGCTGACACAAAACTTTTTTTTGCTTTTTTTCCCCTTGGCTTGCATACAATAATTCACTCACACTATGTTTCATTCATGTAATTGTGTTTTATACTCATTCGTTCACACTGTGTTCCATATAATCATTCATATGCATTGCATTTTATATAATGAACCGATTATTACCCTGTCTTGTCAAGCCCTCAGTGAATCTTCCTGTTCCGCATCTGCCCACCAACCTCCCTGTCCTAAGGAGTCCCACCTTTCTCCTTTCCCCGCCCACTTCCCTTTTCCCCCTTTCTCTTTGGACTGAGTGAACTAACCCAGTTTCATAAGAACAAATACTGAATAAAAGCATTACTGTAAAAATAGAAGGATAACTAGTAAGGTGTATAAGACATTGCACTAATAACACTTTTACTCCTAACTAAGGAATTTTGATGAATTCTGTGTCAAAAATTGTACCAATCAAAAGATGAGTGGTTCAAATCCACCAGCTGAACTGGGCAGTGTACGCCCACCAAGATCTCCAGCCTTAGAGACCCAACAGAAGGGCCCTGTGAGTTGAAATTGACTACGTAGCAAAAAAACAAACCACTACGTCATGGACAAGTTGCAGCCAGAGTGCTCCTTGGAGGCAAAGATGGTGAAGCTTCATCTCGCATACTTTGGGCTTGTGGATGGAAGAGGCTGTTCCTTGGAGAAGAACATCATGCTTGGAAAGGTGAGGGGATGGCAAAGGATGGGAAGATCCTCAGCCAAGTGGAAGACACAGTGACTGTGGCAATGAGCTTGAGTGTGTCAGAGACTGTGGGGTTGGCACAGGACAGGACACAGTTCAAGGCTGTTGTTCACAGGGCTGCTCTGAGTCAGACTCGACTTGCCAGCACCTCATAACAACAATGGTCTCTTCCAGCTTGACTTGCTAGTTCTTCAGCATAATTTGACTTGCATGTGATATTAATTATATTGTTTGATAAAGCCCACTTTCTGTTGTATTACCTTTTGGAAGGAATGGGACAGTATGGATCTCTTCCAGTCAGTTGGCCCGGTAACTGTCTTCCATGTTTGTTGTGAGACACTAATGAACACATCCAGGGTTGCGTTTTCCCTGAAACACTTCAATTGCTATTCCATTACTTCCTGGGGCCTTATTTTTTTTTTTAATCAATTACTTCAGTACAGTTCAGACTTCTTTCACTACTTTTGGTTCTTAATCACATGCTACTTCCTAAAATGGGGCAGCATTAACCAACTCTTTTTGGTACAATGATTCTGTGTATTCCTTCCATCTTCTTCCATCACTTCCTACATCATTCAAGATTTTCCCCGTAGAATCATTTAGTATTACAATGCAAAGTTTGAATTTGTTCTTCTGTTCTTTCAGCTTGAGAAATGCTGAGTGTGTTCTTTTGTTTTCCTCTTGTAAGTCCAGCTCCTTTCACAGTTCATCATAATACTTTGCTGTGTCTTTCTGAGCTGTCCTTGCAAATCTCCTGTTCAGCTCCCTTACCCCAGCAATTCTTCCCGTTGGTTTCATTTCTTTGCATCCCAGTGCAAGTTTCAGAGTGTCTCCTGACATACATTCTGGTCTTTTTTTCCACTTTCCTGTCTTTGAAACCCCTTTTACTTTATTTATGGATGATTTTCTTGATGTCATTCCACAACTTGTCTTGTCTTTCGTCATAAGTGTTCAATGTGTTAAATCAACTCTTGAGATGGTTCTTAAATTCAGTTGGGATACATTCAAGGTCATATTTTGATTCTCGAGGACTTGTTTTAATTTTTCTGAATTTCAGTTTGAACTTGTATATGAGTGTCTGTTCTCCAGTTAACAACCAGCTTGGATTTGACTGCTGGTATTGAGCTTCAACGTGTCTTTCCACAGATGTAGTCAATCTGATTCCTGCATTGCCCATCAGGTGAAGTCCGTTTATAGCTTTTGAAAATAAGTATTTGCAATGAATCTGTCATTCCTATGAGCTCCCCAAGCTCATCTCTGTCATCAAGGCCTATTTTCCAACGATAGTCCTTTGTTTCCAACTTTTGTATTCTAGTCATCAATTACTATTAGTGCATCTTGATTGCATGTTCTATCTTTTTTAGACTGCAAACATTGGTGTTGGCTGCTGTGTCCTGCTGAGTCAGAACCACCCACAGCTGGTCCTCCAGTGAGTTTTCAGAGGCGGGAAAGTGCATAGGAAGGGACTGCCCCGCCTTCTTCCTCCCCCACAAGAGCTGTCAGAAAGTCTCAGTTTGCTTCTCGACAGCTCACAACAACAACAACAACATAACAGGGAAAAGAATTCTGTAGGTAAATGAGGTCAGTGCAAAAGAGGCAGGCCCTCACTGAGACGGTCCAACGTGGTGATGGCAACCGTGGCCGCAAACATAGGTAACAGCCATGAGGGCGGTGCAGGACCCGGAAGTGTTTTGTTCTGTCCCCCGCTGGGTCCCCATGACTGACCGCATGTAACAGCTACACACACTATGGAGGAGGATAATAATGATTATCGAGGTGAATTCTGAACCACATACCTCCATTAGCAACATTGAACTTGACTCCGAACTCCCCTCCTGGCCCTCCGGGGCAGTGGCTGGCTGTCAGGATGATCCCTCCCGCTGCTTTGATCTTTCTGATGATGCAGGAGACAGCCGGGGTCGACAAGATGCCGTTCTGGCCTATAATCAGCCGCCCAATCTGCATCAACAGGAAAAAGAAACCAGAATCAATGTAGGTACGAGAGACGATGAAAGGCGTTCAACAGCGAAGTGGCAGCACAAAGATGGAAGACCAAGCCCACGGCCATCAAGCTGACACAGCCACCGTGTCAGCCACCTCGCTGAGGGCCTTCCTTTTCCAGACTGACCTTCCACTGAGTCAAGCACAGCGTCCTTCTCCAGGGACTGGCCCACGTGAGTTCCACAGGTGACTACAATGTTCAGCCAAATCAGCAAGCAAGGGGTCAAGGCCCTGGCTACTAAAAGGGCCAGCAGTGTGGACAGCACCTAGAAACCTGATAGAAACACAAACCCTGCAGGTCCACTCAGGGCCAGGTGGGGACCTGCTCAGGACTATCCCCACGATCTGTGATCACAGCTGGCGGTTGTTTCAAGCCACTGGGTTGTGAAGTCATTTCCTGTTAGACCACCAGCGCTTCCCGATATAGCAATAAGGAACCGAATAACACTCCCCCACAAGGAAGAGAAAAGAAATTCCATCAATCTTGTCAGCGGTCAAATGCTTTAACACAGCCCCACAAGGGCTCCTTACAAGCATCAAAAAACCACAACAGGCTGAAAGAAACCTACTAACTGGGAAAAAACCATTTGGCAATATCATCTCAGATAAGGGTCTCACAACAAAAGTTTGATCCTACAGTACAGGACCTCCACAAGAAAAAGATAGATAGCCCAGTTACAAACAGGCAAAAGACACGGAAAGACTTTTCACAGAGGAAGACATTCAGGTGGCCAACAGACACATGAAGAAATACTAAAAATCACTGGCAATAAGGGAGCTGCAAATCAAAACCACAAAGAGATACCATCTGATCCCAGTAGCAGTGGCAAAGTTTATTTAACAAGACAGCAATAAATGTTAGAGAGGATGTGGAGAAACTGGAACTCTCATACACTGTTGGTGGGATTGTAAAATGGTACAACCACTCTGGAAGGGAATTTGGCATTTCCTCAAAAAGTTGAACATAGAAATTCCATATAACCCAGCTATTTCACTGCTAGAAATGTATCCCAAGGAAATTAGAATTGAGACACAGAGATTTGTACGCCAATGTTCATAGCAATGTTATTCACCACCAGAAGAACGTGGAAACAGCCCAAGTGTCCAACTACAATCAAATGGACTGAGAAATTGTGGTACATTCACACAATGGAATTCTATGCAGCACACAGAATTAATGATTTTAAAAATTATTACGTAACTAGGGAGAGACTTGAGAGCATTATGCTGAGTGAGCTCAGTCTCATAAAAAGAAATATTGCATAACATCATCATTGTAAAAACTAAAGGATAACTAGGAAAGCGTGTATGAGGCCCAAAGGGGAAGGGACAGCAGCTCAGGGGTGATGAGGTGCTGGGGGATCATGAGGTTCCACAATTTGCTGGGTGGAGGGAGGCGGTAAACAAATGGGGAAGATCCTGTGGGGTCTTGAAATGATGGAGTAATGGCGGGCATAAATGGTGATTCATTTAGAAAACACAGTGTATGGAAATAATTGCATGAGCCACAATGTGAACGAAGGAAAGTGTGAAACACAATGTATACAAATTTTGTGTGTAAACCAATATAAAATAGTTTTTAAAAAAATAAAAAACCCACTGTCATCAAATCTGTTCAAACACGCAGCCTCTCCACAGAGCCAAGGAGCGCGGGCTCCAGGCTATTCTCATCATGGGAGCTGGCTACCACATCTTCCTCCCATGGACCAGCTGGTGACTTCAAGTCACTGACCACTCAGGTAGCAGCCATGTGCTTTAACTCCCACACCACTAGGGTTCTGAATACAAGGTGGTGGAGGGGTGGGGTGTGGGTGGTGGGCCATCCAACTGAAACCAACTCTAGTTTTCAAAGGCAGTTACTCTCATGGGGGAGGAGTGCTCATGCCTCTCCCATGGAGCAGCTGGTGGATTCGAACTGTGTGCTTCTGGGATTGTGGCGCCTCTTCTTACCCTCTCAGCTACCAGAGCTCCATGAATACAGGGCAGGCTTGGTAAAGTGAGTCATGGGGAAAGAGGAAGACCCTCAGTGGGGTGGATTGACACAGTGGCTGCAGCAATGGACTTGAGCGTGGCCGAGATCACGAGGACAGGGCCAGTTCAACAACATCCCGGTGAAATGACTGACCCAGCAGCTGCAGTGATAGGGTTAGCAACGATCAACTGTGAGGCTGCAGGAGACCAGGCAGGGTTGAACCTGTTGGATACAGGGTCCTTGTGGGTAGAACTCGGTTCAACAGCACCTAACAACAACAGCAACAGCAGGGTCAGGAAAAGGGAGGTGTCACGAGTACCTCCAGAACCTTGATGGATGGTGGTGCCATTGGGTAAGACAGAGGAGGAGAGAAATAACGTGCCGATTACTGTCCAGAATCACGATGCAGAGGAAAGTTATCTGAAATCTTTCTCTCAGCACGTCTGGTCCTTTACACAAGGTGCCGTGTAAAATCAATTTTATCAATGGTGTCATTTTATTTATTTCAATGATTTTCTTTCTTATCGCTCTGTTTTTGTCAGAATGCTGACAAGCACATATCTAAATCAGATTGAGTATTATTTCCATTTCCAAGTCAATGTTCCAGTGAGCAGACGTGTACAACTCATGTTCTCACTTTAGACCCTCAGAGTAGATTTAGAAGTTTGACTCCAAATGAATTCCCCACTCACTCCACCCCTATAATGTAGCACAAAGTGCTCTTCTGGCACGCTGAGCTCCTAACCAAACAGTCAGCAGTTCAAATCCACCAGGGAATCTGTAGAAAAAAGATGGGCTGTCTCCTCACATAAAGGTTTACAGCCTCGGGAATCTGACAGAGAGTGGCTGAGAGTAGAAACACACTCAGCGGCCATGTGCAATACACACCATCCCTCAGTGCCCGTGGGTAATACCCAGCATCCCTCAGCGCCCATGGGTAATACCCAGTATCCCTCAGCACCCATGGGTAATACAACACAGTCCCTCAGTAGCCACGGGTAATACCCACCACCCGTGTCCATGGGTAATACGCTCAATGGAAAGCAGGGAAGGGGCTCTGCTGGCACAGTGGGTGAGCGCTTGGTTGCTAACTGAAAGTTCTGTGGTTGGAATCCTCTCAATGACTGCCAGGGAGAAAAGACCTGGTGATCTTCTCTTACAAAGGTTACACCTTAGACCACGTGATGGGGCAGAGCCTTCCCTGTCACGTGCAGTCAAAGGAGTCAGCATTGACCCCACTGCATTTCACAACAGCCATGTAACATAACAGCAGGGAGGGAAGGGATGTTTGCGGTTGCAGGGGTTTTTCCATATTTAATCTTTCTTACAAAGACTTTGCTCTACAAATATCCTTTAGATTTCAAAGAAATAATTTTTAAAAAATTTTAAAGGGAATCTGAGGGAGCTCTGGTGGCCTAGTGGCAAGACGCTGCACTGCAATCCCAGAGGTATGCGGTTCAAATCCACCAGATCCTCTGCTGGAGAAGGAGGGGCAATCTCCTCCTGTACCAGTCAGATCTGATTTGACGGTACACGTAAAAATAATACAATAAAAATTAAAAATTAATAAATACAGGGAATCTGAAAGCTAGAAACGAATTAGAGTGTTCCTCTATGCCCTCCTCTTACTCCAAACAACCCGCTCTATTAGGCTGACTTTGACCCACAGTGTCCCCGAGGGACGGAACAGTGTTCTTAGGTATAATCTTAAGAGGAGGACATCAGCAGGCCTTTCCCCGAGGGAGTGGATGACCAGCCTTTCAGTCACCAGCTCAGTGTTTAACCATTGTGCCCTCAAATCCAAACCTCACCCACTGCCACGGGGTCCACTCTAACTCCTGGTGACCCTCCATCAGGTTTGTGGGCAGTGAATCCAAAGGGGAGGAGGCTGACCAACCTTTCTCCCGAGGAGCAGCTGGTGGATTTGAACTACTGTCCTTCCTGTTAGTAGCCCTGCACTATGCCACCAGGGCTTCTGTAGGGAAAGGGTAAAGCCTATTGCCTTCAAGCCAATTTCACCTTCTAATAACCCCACAAAGTGTCCCAATGGCAAGAAGCTGCACTGTAATCCCGAAGGTTCTAATCCACCAGCCGCTCTGTGGGAGAAGGAGGTGCCGTCTCCTCCTGTGGATTAAACTGCCTCTGAAGACCTGCTGGAGGGTCACCTATGTGTCAGTTCTGACTCAACGGCACACAACAGCAACAACAATAAAGCTAGAGGACAAAGAACTGCCCCAGACAGTTTCCAGGGCTGCCATGTTCACAGAGGCACGCTGCCCCCCTTCTCCATCGACGCAATTGGTGATTTTGAACCACCCACCCTTCAGTCAGCAGCCAAGTACTTAAACAGAACTCCTTCTTCCCACGTCATATGCCTGCCATCCTCAGACTGAACTAGATAGAAGAGAGTGAAGAAAAACTCCATGGTTCCGAGAGAGACTGACTGCCTTCACACGACCACACAGCCACCATCTGCACCCCGTGGGGGCACAGACACAAGATATCTATCACTTTCTTGTCTTCTTGGTTTAATAAAAGAGGCGGGGACTGCACAGGAAACCCAAAGTTAAGCAGCCATGGAGGTAGGAGCACAGATTTCAGCCCCAGCTGACAGAGAGCAAAGCCAGCCCAGCCCAGCCCGAGCCCTGGACACAGGGACACAGCAGATGGTGTGCAGAGACCTGCGATGATAAACACACAGTGTGGGCGTGGTGACCCGAGCGTCCAGGGACTTCTCTATTGGACATGGATATCTGTGCACTTGTATGGTTGTTATGTGGAGCCCAGATGGGAGGCCGAGCAGCAGCCCCCACTTCCTGGACCCCTGGAAGTCATTATACACACACACGCAGGGGCTGGGGCTGGGAGGTGGGGAGAGCCTGTTACAATCAGACCAAGATGGATTCACATTTGATCCCTCACAGATGAACAAGTGCAGAAAAGTCACAGGCGTCCGTCTGGGCATTTCTGCTGCTGTCTCAGGAAG